CCCCCTCCCGATCCCGACTCCCCCACCTCCCTCCCCAACCACGATCCTAACCCGACAGCAACCAGGCTGCCCTTCCCTCGACATTCCCATCCCCAGTGCGCGCTACCTCCCAACACCCCCCCCATCGATCTCGACCCATTCACTGCTCACCTTCCGCAGCGCGACTTCCCCCCCCCACTGACCACACGCACCTCCCTCCTCCCCGCACCGCCGTCTTCCACCCGCCCCCCCCGTGCGTTACCACACGCTTTCCCTTCCCCCTGCGCAACTTCCCCCACTCTTCCCCCCCCATCGTCACCAATCATCATCATCATCATCAATCTACCCGTGCAGCCCTCCCCATTCTAACCCTACCTACTACTCTACCACCCAATCAATCATAGATAGGATCGCTCCGCCCTTGATTTACTTCATTAGTAACTCTCCCCATTCTAACCCTACCTACTACGCTACCACCCAATCAATCATAGATAGGATCGCTCTGCCCTTGATTTACTTCATTAGTCATTTTCTCTCTTTCTTCAAAATTTACTTGAAGTAATTATTCAACATTTCTTTTTCATTAATTCTTTTTCGAAAATATTTTTAATTAATTCTTTTTTGAAGTTTTTGAAAGTACGAAGAATTAATTATTCTTTCTCGGCCTTTCTTCCTTGAAATTCGAAAATAAGTTTAATTAATTGTTTTTTGAAATTTTTGTAATCCGAAAATATTTTTGAATTAATTAAATTCCTTCCTTTTTCATAATCCGATGGGGGTGGGGGAAGATGAAAAGGGAGGCACAGTTACTGGCAAATGCTCGGTCCTTGTGTGAGTCGAGCCCTCACCAGTGGCCCCAACCCTGCACCCTAAATCGCTAGGGCAAAGGGACGAACATGCCGTTACCCCTCTCCACCAAGAGAGGTAACCTCCCTTCACCAAAGAGAGGTAGAAAGCTATGCTTGCAGGGGTCCCCTGTATAGCCTTAGGAGTAGTGGTAGGTAGTGAAAAGAAAGATATGTTCCATGACATGGCAGAACGCCAGTTAAAAGAAAGATATGTGAGGTGAGAGAAAATATATGCCTGTCCCCGAATGAGGAGAAGGCAGCTTTAAAATAATAATAATAATAATATAGTAACCCTGTTCAGAAGTAGCCTGGGGCCCAGAACTCAGCCCCAGGCAACGCAGACCTGAGATGGTCTGCGCTGGGCTGTGTGACCAAGACACGCCCAGGCCTGAGTCCGTCGCGTGTGGCTGTGTGACCGAACGCTGCACACAGGAAATTCGAGGATCAAAGTCAACTGTAGAGTCAAAGGTACCGCACCCAGGCCCTTGGTTGGATACACTCACTTGTTGTGCGCAGGTACCCAGACAGCATCCAGACCGGAGGGAATTCGGTTTCAGACCAATATGGGCCCTCGTTTGCATTGAGATCTGTACGATTGAGGGATGCAGCATCCGGGGTCCAGACCCGGCGTCAACGCTACATAAGCGCTGACTTCCTGGCTTTGACATGCATTCTGTCCTGCGTTGATGCTGACTTCACGCGTTGACTTCAATGCTGACTCGACGCTGCGACGCTGGCATTGTGATTCGGCGAGGCGCTGCTGGTCCGGCATGGTGGCTGGCTTGCACCTGTCTTCTTGGCATGCTGACGTGGCAGCTGCCATGCGCTATCGCTGATATGGCTGCTGCCACATGTATCATTGGCTGACGTGGCTGCCGCCACGTGTTGTTCTTCTATTTGGGGACGGCGCGAAGCTACGTGACTTGTATTGCTGTTCTGATTATCATCATTCGGGAGGAGATCGGGACTGTGGAGAGATCGTGGATACGTGCCTGGTTGTCTTCATGTCGACATTGCTCCAGTGCTGCTGAGGGACTGATTAGACGTGCCACGTGGCACATTGAGGTTACTCAGATATTCGTTCAGATTATTGACTATTGAGGTGGTGATCGAGGAGGGAGCCCGAAGCAGGAGTGGGCCTTGTATTCATTTCCTCTCCTTTGTCTAATCTCCCTCCTCTCTCTTCGTTTGTGTATGATTATCTCATCTCATTCTGTCTGGATACAATTTTGACTATTGGTAATCATCAGCTGGTTGACATTCATCCGTGCCTGCATTGTTGACGACTGTCTTCACGATCTGGGTTCATTGCAATTCGGTATCGGAGCAGTTCTCCTGACGACGACGGTTGCACGTGTGTACGCGCCAGGTGGCGCATAGGTAAGTATAGTACACACATGTGTTGAGTAGGTGATGACGTGGGAAGAGATATGTCGGGGGGGCTGACGTGGCACAAACATCACTGGCGAGAAGACATCGCGGGGTTTGCTTCACTGGCGAGAGGAGATCTCAACGAGGCTGCTGACGTGGCAGTAGGGACCACAACCAAGAGATACTGCACGCCAGCCTGGATCGCGATTGCGACGTGGCATCGCGATCCCCAACTGACGTGGCATATGTTGTGCCGCGTCTGAAGACCTTGTCGATTGATTGCTGATGTGGCACTTTTTATGATGCTGATGCGCGACAGGGTCTACTGCAGATGCTGACGTGGCCTTGGGAAAACACAGGATTGATTGCTGACGTGGCAGGAAGCAAGTCATCACACCTGTCTTCGTGAGGTGGTGATTACCTGCTTACGTGTCATCGGTCTCCTTGGCTGACGTGGCATTGTCTGACTGGCAGGAACGACGACGGTATCGCGATGTGACGCGTGGAAGTGGCACGTGGGTTGACTTGGCATCCCCACCGCTGGTTGATTAGATGTGCTGACGTGGCAGGATCTGCTGTGTTGGCACTCCAGGGATGACACGTGGCAGGCAGGATTACTGCCAAGTAAGAGAAGCATTAGGAAGACGACGGCGGTACAACTGACTAAACCGACTATACAGCTGTAGTGCCAGCTGTCAGGGAGAGTGCAACATCGCATTGACACTTGGACGACACAGAGGGAAAGAAGAAGAAGGATTGCTGACAAACTGTTTGTTGTTGATGTTGGCATACTTACCTTGTTGTTTGCTGTGTTGTGGTGTTGTGCGCACTTACTTGTGTGTTGTATCTTATCACACGGGTCTGACGTGTTACCTGTACACTCTTGATTAGGACGTCATCACACAAACAGACAAAGAAGAGCAATAGTTAGGAATAGAAATAATTGTATTTATTTTCTCTTCAGTTGTTAGAAATCTTGCTGTTGTAGATCAGTGCGGCTGTGGAATTTATTATTGTTCATTAATTGTTTATTGTGCGGCAGATACACATCACGATGTCTTTTTCTAGAATTTTTTGAAATTATCAGTGCTCACTCGTTTTATTCCACTTCTCTTCTATCCAGTCTCACTCATGTTTGTTGTTGATGAGGAGACTCCTGACCCCCGAACTAAGCAACAAGTGAAAGAGCGGAAAAAAGTCTTGACTGCCCGTTTGGACAAATTGATTTCTGAACTTCATGATGCCGGTGAAGAGGCTGAGGCTGACGTCCGGAGCCTGTTTGATTTAAAAGCATTACATAATGCTACTGAATTGGCTGAGACAGGCACCGACATCATTCAGGTTCAGGATATACTAATCAAGTGTCGCCATGCACTTGATAAGTATATCATGGATCATCTTTCCAAGATTGCTGATCGGAAAGAAGAAGGAGGAGGGGTTGTGCCTGAAGAAACCGTAGATGAAAACATCAGACAACTTGAAGAAGCACTAGAGAGAGAAGAGGAAAGAGGAATTGAGAAGACAAAAAGAGCAGAATGTACAGCAAGAACAGAAAATAGAAGAAATCAGACAAACTATTATTGTAACTGAAGGGGAAGGACAGGCTGTTTCTTTGGCTCAACTTGTGACTTACCTTGCTCACCTCGAGATGAAGATTGATCGGTATGGGGTTCAGATTGATGAGGTGATCGCGTGTCTGCAGACAATTACCAATCTGGTCAAGGGAAAGAATCAGGTGATAGAAGAAGTCAAAGTAGAGAAGGAAGAAAACCCAAAGAAACTAGTGGGAGATGTCGTCAAGTCTCTTAAAATAGAGACTGGGAAACCGGAAGGGAAAAAGGGGAGCCTTCGAGTCCGATTGAAGTCTCCCAGAGGAAGCAAAGTCACCACCGCACAACCTGAGGAACCGAAAAAGAAGGAGAAAGTCAAAATGAAATTGCCTTTCACGTTCTGTAAAATAAAAGATGAAAATTTATTGTTGTGGATTGCTGAAATACAGACTTATTGTAGTACGGCCCCTGTTGAACCCAAATCCCAGGTTGCTTTCTCTACTTCTTGTCTTGGGGGGGAAGCAAAGGAATGGGTTCTGGCCGAAGCCAATGCAGCGGGGTTCGATGACATTGGAGAGTGGGCTGGAACGTTAAACCTCAAGCAGTTCCTTGGAAAGATCAAGGAACGGTTTTTGGACAAGACAACGTCCGACAAGGCCTTTGACCAGCTCACCACAATTGGTCAGAAACGTTGGACCTCTGTGGAATCGCTGTCTAGGGAAGTTGATCGGTTGCTGCAGGTGCCTGGACTGAACCTGCAAGACAACCAAGTCTTGTATATTTATTCTCGTGCTCTGCCCGAGCCCCTTTGTGGACAACTCGTGGCAAAGTCGAAATCCGACAAGTATAATTATAGGCAGTTTCGGGATCTGGCTCTCCAACGAGAGCAAATGACTTCTCAGGTAAAGAATTCGTATGCGTCTGTTGTGAAGTATGGTGGTGGTGCAGGTACAGGTATGTGGATACTTTGGCGCCAAAAGCGCCAGGACCACACCCTCGTCGTCTTTGATGACGATACTGTGGAGAAGTGGCCATTGGAGGCCGAGGGTGTGACAAGCAGCAGTGATTCCGGGAAGGGGGAAGTTACTGTTGCCAAGGTCAACAAGGGGGGACCACGACCGCCAACAATGAAGAAAAAGAAACCACGCTCGTTTCCTGAGCATCTCGGAATTGCGGCCGGGAAGCCATTGGAAAAGATGTGAGAAGAAACGGGGCAAGAAAAAATGAACCATGCACAGTGTATGAAGTGTGGTACCCCAGGGCATGTGATTGCATGGTGCCCACTTATACGTAACCCAAAAGTGAGCCGCCTGTAGGATTAGCATATGCTCCTACTGAGTCTAAGGGTTTGGACCAAGATGAAGGTAAGGCGCCTACGACCCCTTCCAACCCTTCGACTTACATGGCAGAGGATGGTTCTTCTTCGGCCCATCGTCCGGAACACCCTGAACCTGTCTTATGTACTGTCTCTCTGGACGACTCTCTTGACGAGCTTGGTAACGAGTTGCTAGCATTACGAAGCTCGTAGACTAAGAAATCTAAGTCTAAGGGTGACTTACTACTTGCGGACATAGAGATTGCACGTACACGTGTAGGTGCATTGTTGGACTCAGGATCCACGCGATCTTACATATCCGAGAAAGCAATCTGCAAGTTGCATCTCGGAATGAAGGTAAAGAATTTGTCTCGACCAATCACGTCTATCCTTGCTGACAAAAACACGATCATTGTCTCACAATATGTTGATCGTGTGAAGTGTCGATTTCGTACCAAGGAAGGAAAGAAGATTGTTCACGAGGTTTCCTTTCTTGTGGAGAAGAAGTTACCTTTTGACTTGATTCTGGGAATGGACTGGCGCGAGGAAGCCAACCCAGATATCAAGTTCAACGAAAAGATAGTGCAACTACGAGATGCACACTTTGAATTGAAACCTATCAAACTGTACCATAAGTCTCGTTCTGACTCTAGTCTGTCTTTCTGTTGTATGAGTTATCCAACATTCCAATCGATGGTTTCGAAGAAAAGGTTGGAACAGGAAGTAACTATGGTTTTAGTAAAAAGAGCAGGTGAGTGCTCTACTTCCTGCCCTCCTTCGATTGAGAAACTATTGGATGAGTATAAAGATCTACAAATCGAACCAACAGGAATAATTGTGCGTGTTATAAAGCACACCATTGCAATTATTCCTGGCAGTAAGATTCCCAAGGGCCCTATCTACAGAATGTCTCCAAGGGAACTTGAGGACTCAGAAAACAACTGCAGGACTTAACAGAGAAAGGATGGATTCGCCCTAACTCTTCTCCTTATGGTGGCCCTGTCCTATTTGTGTCCAAAAAGGAAGGTGAGTTGCATCTCTGTATTAATTATAGAGGGTTGAGTGTCGTCACTGTTAAGAATGTCGAACCTCTTCCACGAATTGACGACTTGTTGGACCAGTTGCAGGGCTGCAAGTTCTTCAGTAAAATTGATCTAAAGTTTGGATACCACCAGATCGAGGTGAATCCTACAGATCAACACAAGACTGCATTCCGAAAAAGGTATGGTCACTATGAGTTTGCGGTAATGCCTTTCGGACTGACTAATGCCCCAGCGACCTTCCAAAGATCTATGAATGAACTCTTTCGTCAATGGTTGGATCAATTCGTCATTGTCTACCTCAATGACATTCTAGTGTATAGTAAGACACTAGAAGATCACGAAAAACACCTACGTGTAGTGTGAGCAAAGTTGCGCGATGGCAACTTCAAGCTAAATCCAAAGAAGTTTGAATTTGCTAAGTCTGAAGCCTTATACTTGGGACATATTGTAAACGAAGATGGCCTAAGGCCAGAAGAAAAGAAGATATCAGCAATTAGAGATTGGCCACGACCTAAGTCGATAACTGAACTAAGATCTTTCCTTGGTTTGGCAAGTTATTACAGGAAGTTCGTTAGGAACTTCTTACTGATCGCCACACCAATTAGAAGATTATTGAAGAAAGAAAATATTTGGTTGTGGGACACAGACTGTGAGTCTTCGTTCAAAAAGTTGAAATGTGCATTGACTCACTACCCAGTTCTGAAAATTGTTGACCCGTCTCTACCCTTCATTGTCACTACTGATGCACGTCAGTATGGGATTGGCGTTGTTCTCCAGCAGGATGACGACAAGGGTTACAGGCCCATAGAGTTTATGTCTGCATGACTGTAGTCGGAAAAGGTTGCCAACTCCACCTATGAAAGGGAGAGCTGTATGCCTTAGTCTGTGCACTAAACACGTGGAAGCACTACTTATTAGGGAGGCACTTTACTGTGTACTTAGACCACTCTACTCTGAAGTGGATAAAGACACAACCTAGGCTCTCTGATAAGCTGGTACGATGGTCTGCGTTTATTGATACCTTCGATATTGAATTGAAAACGATCAAAGGTAAGTCTAATGTGGTTGCAGATGCATTGTCCAGACGGAGTGATTTCTTAGGTGCAACTGTCTCTTATCTGGATGTTGGGAATAATTTGAAAGATAGAATTCGGCAAGGATGCTACTGGCCCTATTTGGAAGCCTATCATTCATGTCCTTGCAAAAGACCCAACTCTACTTCCCAACTGCTGTGTAACCGATGGTTTGATTTTCTTGTTAGACCAGAGTGAACAAAGATTGTGTATTCCTCAGAAGGAAGAGATTAAAAGTCTGTTAATTGGGGAATGTCACGATTCTGAGGGACATTTTGGATTCAAGAAAACTTACGCAGAGGTGAGGGAGCACTTTGAATGGAAGGGATTAAAGGAAGACGTACTAACTTACGTGCGTACCTGTCTGGTGTGTCAGAGAAACAAACCTTCACATGAGAATCCACTTGGTCTCCTGAAACCATTACCAATTCCGAGTGAACCAGGTGAGTCAATCTCAGTTGATTTCATGAGCCTCACCAAGAGTCGTAATGGCAATAGTCAAGTAATGGTGGTTGTGGATCGTTTCTCTAAATATGCCATGTTTATTCCCTTACCTACTAAAGCAAGAACTGAACTTATGATCCAAAAATTTCAGATGCGACGGGTGACTGAATATGGGTTTCCCCTCTCCATTGTGTCTGATCGTGATGCAAGGTTCATAAGTATGCCATGGCAAAAGCTGATGGAAGCATACGGTACACGTTTCACCATGTTGTCAAGACGACATCCTAAAACGAATGGACTAAGTGAGCAGATGAACCGATTGTGCCAACAACTCTTGTGCATGTATGTGAGACCCGATCAGATTGATTGGGATGAGAACTGACCCAAAATAGCCAGTGCATATAACAACAGTGTTCACACTGCTACGGGTCGTACACCTAATGCACTGCACAAGGGGTGGAAACCTAGGCGTCCCAATGATGTGTTAATGCGGGACCAGTTCCTTAGGTTACCTCCAGGGACACGAGAGTATGCAGTTTTGTTTCAAGAAGACACAAATAAGGTAAAAGATAATTTAAAGAAAGCTTAGGACGAGATGATCGAACAAGCGAACAAACATCGTCGACCATCTACATTTAAGGAAGGTGATTTCGTTTGGGTAAAGTCCAAAGAGTTTTCCTTAGAAGAAGATGTGTCTCAGAAACTTCTGCCTGTCTATTTTGGATCCTTGGAAGTTCTCAAAGTAATAGGAGATGCAGAGGGACCGTCTTAGCGCATTGATATCCCCCCTCATCTCAAAACATATCCTGTATTTCACCCGTCCAAACTGTTGCCCTATGTAGAAGGGAATGAATTTCCAAACAGACCCTCTATGATTCCGCCATCTATGGAAGGCAGATATGAGGTAGACAAAATTGTAGAGCATGGTTACGTCTCTACAGGAGGACGCGGACGGCCTCAGAAGCAGTTCAAGGTACGTTTCAAGTCTCAAGCACCATCTGAAGATAGATGGTTTAGTAAACAAGAAGTACTTGAAACTGCTCCTGATATTGTCGCTGCTTATGAACGAGGGTTAAAGTCTTAAATATTTCTGCGGTGGAACTYGAAAATGGGCCGGCAGGAATGTAGTAACCCTGTTCAGAAGTAGCCTGGGGCCCAAAACTCAGCCCCAGGCAACGCAGACCTGAGATGGTCTGCGCTGGGCTGTGTGACCAAGACACGCCCAGGCCTGAGTTCGTCGCGTGTGGCTGTGTGACCGAACGCTGCACACAAGAAATTCAAGGATCAAAGTCAAATGTAGAGTCAAAGGTACCGCACCTAGGCCGTTGGTTGGATACACTCACTTGTTGTGCGCAGGTACCCAGACAGCATCCAGGAATTCGGTTTCAGACCAATCTGGGCCCTCGTTTGCATTGAGATCTAGACGGTCGAGGGATGCAGCATCCGGGGTCCAGACCCGGCGTCAACGCTACATAAGCTTTGACTTCCAGGCTTTGACATTCATTGTCTTCCGTTGATGTTGACTTCACGCGTTGACTTTAATGCTGGCTCGACGCTGCGACGCTGGCATTGTGATTCGGCGAGGTGCTGCTGGTCCGGCATGGTGGCTGGCTTCCACCTGTCTTCTTGGCATGCTGACGTGGCAGCTGCCATGTGCTATCGCTGATGTGGCTGCTGCCACGTGTATGATTAGCTGGCGTGGCTGCCGCCACATGTTGTTCTTCTATTGGGGATGACGCGAAGCTACGTGACTTGTATTGCTGTTCTGATTATCATCATTCGGGAGGAGATCGGGACTGTAGAGAGATCGTGGATACGTACCTGGTTGTCTTCATGTCGACATTTCTCCAGCGCGAATGAGGGACTGATTAGACGTGCCACGTGGCACATCGAGGTTACTTTAGATATTCGTTCAGAGTATTGACTATTGAGATGGTGATCGAGGAGGGAGCCCGAAGCAGGAGTGGACCTTGTATTCATTTCCTCTCCTTTGTCTAATCTCCCTCCTCTCTCTTCGTCTGTGAATGATTATCCCATCTCATTCTGTCTGGATACGATTTTGACTATTGGTAATCATCAGCTAGTTGACATTCATCTGTGCCTGCATTGTTGACGAATGTCTTCACGATCTGGGTTTATTGCAATAATTAAAAAAAACGAAAATACGTTAGAAATAATTAATTGTTTTTTGACATTCCTTTGAAATTCGTTAATAATATTAATTAATTCTTTTTCAATTTTTTATTCGGAAATAACTTCTTCTTAATTCTTTTTCGAATATATGTGAGGATCTGGGTCCTCGACAGACCTTTTTTTTTTTTTTTTTAAGTCCAGGGTGTTGTAGAGGTCAGTTAGTGAGTGCACAGTGATCGCCTGGAACTGTGAGCCGTGGGTGTCCCTTATGAGACCCCATCCCAACCCTTCCTCGCGTCAATACTCCTAGCGCACCCCCTATCCCACTATCCTACCTCAGTGTGACCAGCACTCACGACCATCGCCCTACCCACGAGCAGGCAACTTGGACCGAACAGCAGTGATAGGCACCAGGGCTGAGCCAGCCCTGGTGGAAGCGGAATTGAACGAACCTTATGGAACGAACTTCGAACGCCAGGCCCAGACAATGAACTACAGACCCCCATATATAGCCGCCAGACAGTTTTATCCGAATGTCAGTAGGAACTGCACCCAATGGCACCCTATCCAACCAACCCGAACCTACTGCAGGCCCTAGACCCCACTAGTGACTAACTCCCCAGTCTGTTTTTTTGTGTGTATACTTTGTGAATCTGTGTATGGAATATGTGTATATATGGTTGTATGCTGCTCCCCACCATGGAGCATCTACGAAGTGAAGAGTAAGTACTGGTGAGAAGTGCTCGTACCACCTCCCCAAGTACATGTATATATATATGTGTGTACTCTATGAATCGTGTGTATATCAAGGAGAGAACGGGGCAAGCTGGACAAGGAACCCCCGCAAGGACCGAGCCAAGCTCGAACCCGTAACCTTGTATCGAAGACTCTACCGTATGGACAACTACCCGATATGGATCGAACGTGTGATATGCCAGACTGGGTAGAAAACCAGAACACCCAAGACCAACACCCCAAGCAAATGCTGTAAACCCACAACCAACATACAACACCATGGACTACCCTTGGGTGGTGCGCAGGCAGTGTCTATAATAGTACTATGCGTCAGCCCAAGGGGATGTGTGTCCAGCTGTGCGTCAAACTAACGCCCTGCCGGTGTCCATGCGCAAGGCTGCGGGGTTTTGAACCCGCAACCTTATACCACAATGCGCATTTCCAACCGGTGCTCTAACCACTGAGCTACATCAGCTGGACAGGTCCTCAGCAGGCCTAAGGGCCCCCTGTTGCATCTGTGCCAGCCCTAAGTGAAGGCGGGCCTAACAAATTACGTGAGGCCCTCGCCTCTCAATTTCGTATTTGGGGTTCAGGCAGTTTCGTCGCGCCAGTTGGTTGAGGAAAACACAGGCCGAGCAGCGAGACCTTCGACGGCCTTCCAGGCCTTTCCGAAATGATGCAGGCTCTGGACGAGAATGGCAGCCTCATACACAGACAGTTGGGAGGCCCAACCGAATGAGGCCCGGTAGCTGCAAGAGAGGCGCAGCATCCTGGGGCCTACCGGAAGCTTTTGGGTCCAGGCCAGTCCAGCCAGGCTGCCGAATGAGGCCGGCTCTTTCTATATAGGAAAGAGCAAGCTGCCTGGCCAGGGATTCGGGCACTCGCATGTTGGCGGCAACGCTGCTGGAGCTGAAGCTCGTGGGTTGTTGCTAGCGCTGAGAGGCTAAGTGCAAGCACGTGCGGTCGTGCAAGGAGGAGGGCGCTGTTGAGGGCAGCGCCATAGCCCAGCGTCCATAGTTGGCGGGCTTGGATGTACAATGAGACGCAGGGGTGGTCTTCGGGTGTATGAAAGGAAGACGTGGGTGTAGGACGAGGGAGAGGGAGAAGGATGATGATGATGATGATGTGAGGGCACATACCTGGTATTGGCGATAGTCTGCTACGGGTGACATCTTCAAGTACTTCGGAGGCTGCTGACGTCAACAGTTGCATTGTCAATTAGTAGGCTAGTAGTAGTTGTGTAGAGAGTAGGCTGGGCGCCGAGCGCCAAGTAGGGAGATAGGGCCTGGTTACATATGTTGGTGGTGGCGAGTGCAAGCTCTCATTGACATTGGTTTTCAGTGCTACGAATCTCCATTGGTGTCGTATTGGTGCAATGCTGCTTTCTGAACACTGTGATACAGTCTGGCTTTCAATGTGATTGTGCAATCTGAATATTGTCATCTCGCTTCTGTTCATTTTCCTTGCAATTTGGTATCCGAGCTGGTTCGAACTGCGCTCATTGGTTCTTCGCTATAGTTGTTCGGTGCTTCGCATGAGGTGTGGGGCAGTGACAAGGCTTGGGCGTTGAACGTAAGGTGGCCCAGGGTCGTGTGGGCGGGCCAGGAAGCTATGTGGTGACATTAGGGGTGTACGCTGGATGATGAGAGCTCGCTGATGTGGCATTTAAGCCGAGGTGGAATTGCATTCTGCTGTTGGTTGTGCCAAGGCAAAGACCGGTCATCATAAATGCACATCAGGTTGCCGGTGAGAAATCTGTGGTTGGGGGCAGCATTATGAGGTACGTTGCTTCCTTCCTTATCTACCCTCTTCATTGCTTCTTACCGTGAGGAAGTGAGTCTTGTCTTGAGAGTCCTCTCGATGTGAGGTGTCGAGAGCGCTCAACCTTGAGAGTCGACATTCTTCCTGGGCAGCAAGCTGGTGGGAGATTGGCGATGCTTTTGAAGGGCCTTGGACAAAGCACTCGGGTCACGTTCACCATGCCAACCCATTGGGACTAGTACACGCATGCTTTGCCGCAAGTCCTTGGTTCAGCTGCTGCGCAATAAAGGTCATGCAGGGCATGCCAGCCCTTTGAACAGGCGCTTACCAGACCGTCTTTAAATATTTCTGGCAGGGACTCGGTGTTGATTCTGGTTGCGACGTTAAATCATTCCTGAGGAGCTACGGGGGATCTCCTTAAATGTCTCCTGATCAGCCAGATCAAACCGGGTGTAAGGCTCGTTGCATGCGAGGATAAATAAAGTGCAGGGGCTGGCAGGTTCGGCGTTGACTTGGGGCACAGGGGTGGGTCGGATTGCACACCTTTAGACACACTACTCAACCAGATGCTCAGGGCGTTGACACAAAGTGACAACTCAAGAAGGACACAAGGAGAGGGGGGATTCCGGTAACTGTTCGTGGTGACATTATTAGACAATCTACCATCCAACATGCATCTCAACAGGTAGGTTATTTTTATTTTTGATTATTTAGTTGTTACGGACTTGTTAACAACTGACAGACAGTTGCAAATAGTTTAGTTCTTTCCTTGCTGCATTGCAATCTGTGCAAGAGTAATCTAAAAATATAGTTAAAACTTACCTGTAGGATGTGACAGTGGTTGACACCTAACCACCTAACTGTTTCTGTCCAGGCCGATCGAAGATAGTTGTGTATCATAAATCGGTTGTGTGGCATGCTGAGGTAGGATTCAGTGTGGATTCTAGTTTAGATCACACACGCTGTAGCTCATGAGTGATGCAAGCAGTAGTGAGGAGTTGTTAGTGGATGACCTTAGGGTCACTTGAAGAACTGCTCTCAGTCGACCCTTGACTTTCCTAGTTTCCTAGAGTTAGGTCCAGGAGACGAGAGAAGACTGCTGAGAGAGGCTAGAGAGAGAACAGCGGCTAGAAGCGCGAGGGTGGCTGAGGCCAACGCCAGGTCTAGAACTACAGCTAGTATCGGTACGACCATGGCTACTTCCTCCACCATGTCGCAGGCCTTTACATAGGCCACTTCGTCAGGAGTCAGTCAGAGTGGTTCTCAGGCTTCTGTTAGCCAGTGTGCTGGCTTGCAAGTCAGCGAGCAGGCTCAACTCACGCGGAGGATTATGAGATCCTCCAAGCAGAAGAACTTCAGATGAGCTACAACGGCAATTGGATGAGGCTGCAGAGAGAAGAAGAAGAGCAATCATGAGAAAAGCTAGACTAGGTAGTAGATTGCAGGAACTAGGCAAGTTGGAGGCACTAGATGAGTCCACATTAGATCCCGCTATGCAAGCACTGCGAAATTCGCTCCTGTGTGTGGCGGAGACGTAGGATGTTCAGCAGGAGGTGTTGGCTGAACTAGTGGCAGGCCAGAAACGAAATTCGCTCCTGTGTGTGGCTGCACTACAGGCTCCTCGTCCAGTGATGAGGCAGCCTCAGTTTGCAGTAGCTCCCCCATCGGTTGTGGGTCCATCAATGACACCGTTGCCGGTTGGGCCCTCATTCTCACCTATGTTTGGCATGCCTCCTCCAGGTGGTTGTGTGGCGACTAGTGGTCCGGTCCTTAGAGTCTCTGTCGTACCATCGACGACAGTGGTTACTACAGTCCCACTGTCAAGCCAGGCCCAGGTTAGTGCGCAACAACCTGTTTCGGTGGCTATGCAACCACTGCAGCAATCCCCTGGGCCAATGCAGCCTATGCAATGGATGCCCAAAATACCCTTGCCGAGTCCTAAGCCCTTCTCTGGCGACAGGAAGAAGGATGAGGACTTGGATACCTGGGTGAGGATGTTGCCTACCTATGTGAGGCACAAGCTTACCAGGCCGGAGCAAGAAGTTGTAGTGGCTGCCTCCTTTCTAGAGGGGTCAGCAGCCCGCTGGTTGAATGGCCTAGTGCAGCAGCAGGGCTACGGTCAGAACTTCGATGCCTGGGCGCAGGCCCAGACATTGGAATAATTCCTACGGTCCGTGTATAATAGGTGGCATGACCCTCAAGGGGCTCAAAAGGCCACAGACGCAATCAATAGTCTTTGTGCCAGAAGGTACAAGAACGTTAGAGAGCTCACGGATAGCGTAGAACGTCTGCTCGTGGTACCTGGTGTGCGCTATGACCAGCAGGTACTCCTCACGGATTACCTTAGATGTCTGCCTTCAGAGGTTAGGACAAAGTTGGTAGATGAGGCCTATGTCGAACAACACAACTTCGCTTCCTTCAACAAGAAGGCCTTAGACATAGAGGCAAAGTTGGGATCTGCGCATCAGAGTCAAGGAGATGGTAGGAAGAAGAGACTACCCCAGGACTGGAAGAAGAAAGGGCAACTAATGTTCGTCGACCATGATGGTCAGGCGACAAAAATTGACGACTTCCCAGACCTTGGGGACGAGACAGAGCAAGATGGGGCCAGTGAGACTTCGGATGGGGGAGTCGTGGCACCCATCAAGGAAAAGGCTAGGGGGACAGGGGAAAATAAGGTAGTACGGTCCATGGGTCAGGGCGACCAAGGTACGCCCGCCTGGGTGAAACTTGGAGGTTTAGAGTATGAGGTGTGGAGGGACCGAGTTGCTAGGGGTATGTGGATGAACTGTGGCAACTATGGCCACACGTCCAGAACGTGCCGAGGTAAGAAAGTCCTAACGAGGGTAGCCTCTCCAACGGTGGTGGGACTATCCTCGAACTTTGGCGGTGCTTCTGTGAGCACTTCGCAGGGAAACACCTCGGGCCAGTAGGACTTTTAGCCGCTCTTACTCCCGCTGAAGTGGTAACGTTGCCTTCCCCACTTCAGGCGTTGGCCAGGGCTAGTGACCCACGTATCGCCCCGCAGACACATTTAGACCCACCAACACTCTGTTCGAGAAATGTGTCTGGGTGAAACTTGGTTTAGAGTATGAGGTGTGGAGGGAGAGACGGTTAACGGGGGCCCAAATATTCGTCGTTTTCGTTGGCAATTGCGGTGCAAATTTCATCAAAAATTTTAAAAACAAACTATATGAGACCATAGTGCAAACATCAAAAAAGGAAATAGGCCAAAATGAACGAAAAAAAAAAACAAAAAGGCACTATGAAACCCTAACACCAAGGCACTTTCCGAGTCAAAATGAAGCGTCCAACGAATTCAAAAAAATGCCAACTTTTTCATTATTGATCCAAACATGTCAAAACTGCACACATGACGTACCCTAAAGCACATATATGTCACACAAAAAGAAAAACAAGAAAAAAATCACAATATGACAGTTTTAGTGCAATTCGGTGCAAAATTCGTCAAAAATAACACCCCTGGTTAACCACGTGTGTGTTTCCCTGCGAAGTGCTCGCAGAAGCACCGCCAAAGTTCGAGGATAGTCCCACCACTGTTGGAGAGGCTACCCTCGTTAGGACTTTCTTACCTCGGCACGTACTGGACGTGTGGCCATAGTTGCCACAGTTCATGCACGTACCCCTAGCAACTTGGTCCCTCCACACACACGTGGTTAGGGCCAGTAGGACTTTTAGTCACTCTTACTCGCGCTGAAGTGGTAACGTTGCCTCCCCCACTTCAGGCGTTGGCCAGGGCTATTGACCCACGTATCGCCCCCCAGACACATTCAGACCCACCAACGCTCTGTTCGAGAAATGTGTCTGAGGCCCTAGAAGAGTTAGAGACTGAGTGGTCAGGGAAGGACCCCAGAGACTCTTGGGCGATGATCAGTGGAGGTCCAAAGGGTGCACATTTCGTGCTAGAGGTTGATGTAGGCGGCCGTAAAGTTGGCGCCTTCGCAGACATAGGCTCTACACGAAACTTCATCAGTCGTGCTTGTGTGGATAGACTGTGCTTAGGGGACCAAGTGCAGCGGCTTAGCAGAACTGTAGCTTTTACGCTAGCCAACAAGCACCAAATGGTAGTTAAGGACTATGTCAAGGACGTAGTCTGTTCCTCCTCTTATGGAGGAGGGGAAGTGAGACATAAAATCTCATTCCTCGTCAGCGACGAATTGCCCTTCGATATTGCTACTAGGCATGTATTACCTCGAGGTCGCGCAACCTCAGTTTGATTGGGATAGGAAGGTGTTGATACTCAAGTTGCCAAATGGTAGGACCGTTAGACTGCAGAAGTATAAGGCTAGCAGTCTAGTGGAGAACTACGGTTGCATGTGTGCTTCCTCTTTCTATAACTACTACAAGCAGAATCGCGAGGAGGGCATGTATCTAGTCTTTGTCTCTGAGATAGGGGAGGTCATTAAAACACCTCCAGAGATAGAATCAGTCGTCACACAATATTCCGACCTTTTTGAGTGAACTGTGGCAGAACACTGCCCAACGGATGGGAACCAGACTGCAAATGACATAAGGGAATAACCCTAAGTCAAATGGACAGGCGGGACAGATGAACAAAGTAGTGCAGCATCTACTAAGGCACTATATTAAGCCAAACCAGGATGACTGGGATGAGAAACTACCTCTCCTCGCTAGCCTGTACAACAACGCAGTACATAGTACTATTGGCATGACTCCCAACCAACTGCATCTTGGTTGGAAGCCCCGCTCCACCCTCGACTTCCTACTACCTGAAAAACAGGCTACTGCAGCACCCGGTAGCATAGAATTTGTTGTCACATACGAACAGATGTTGCAGCAGGCCGTTGAGCACACGAGGAAAAATCAGGATGCTATGATTGCATCTGAGAATAAACACAGACGGCCTTCTAACTTTCAAGTAGGGGAAAGGGTCTGGGTAAAGTCATCTGAATTGGGACAGGAAATGGGAATATCTAGGAAACTGGTCCTTGAGAGGTCCTGGACATAGTGGGGGAACAGGTGGATGGACCACCTTATGTGATTCGCGTCCCACCTCATCTACGGACACACCCTGTTTTTCACGCATCCAAGCTGGCACCTTTCGCAGAAATTGTACAGTTTCCCTCCAGACCGTCAATGCTGCCCCCAACCATGGATGGCGGAGTGGACATCGACCAAATCGTGGAGCATCGTCTGATCCCTATTCCTCGGTCACCGGGCAGAGACCGCCCTCCTTAGCCAAAAGTGCAATATCGGGTCAGATTCAGACATAATCTGGATCCCAGCGAAGATCGGTGGTTGACCAGAGAAGAACTCTTGAGAACTGCACCTCAAGTCATTGCAGGCTACGAAAGAGATCTCAAGGGGAAGATGTCTACAGAATAGAAGACTTCTCAGAGGACTATCGAAGTACAGGAGGAGGGAATGCGAGGATCTAGGTCATCGGCAGGCCTAAGGGCCCCCTGTTGCATATGTGCCAGCCCTAAGTGAAGGCGGGCCTAACAAATTACGAGAGGCCCTTGGCTGTCAATTTCGTATTTGGGGTCCAGGCAGTTTTGTCGCGCCCGTTGGTTGAGGAAAACCCCGGCCGAGCAGCGAGACCTTCGGCGGCCTTCCAGGCCTTTCCGAAACGATGCAGGCCCTGGACGATAATGGCAGCCTCATACACAGACAGTTGGGAGGCCCAACCTAATGAGGCCCGGTGGCTGCAAGAGAGGTGCAGCATCCTGGGGCCTACAGGAAGCTTTTGGGCCCAGGCCAGTCCAGCCAGGCTGTCAAATGAGGCAGGCTCTTTCCATATAGGAAAGAGCTCACTGCCTGGCCGGGCATTCGGGCACTCGCATGCTGGCGGCACTTGCATGCTGGCGGCAGCCTTGCTGGAGTTGAAGCTCGTGGGCTGCTGCTAGCGCAGACAGGCGAGGTGCTAACACGTGCGGTCGTGCAGGAAGCAGGGCGCTGCCGAGGGCAGCGTTATAGCCCAGCCTGCATAGTTGGCGGGCTTGGATGTACAATGAGGCGCAGGGGTGGTCTTCGGGTGTACAACGGGAAGACATGGGAAGACGAGGGAGACATACAAAAGGATGATGATGATGATGATGATGTGAGGGCACATACCTGGTATTGGCGATAGTCTGCTACGGGCGACGTCTTTAAGTACTTCGGAGGCTGCTGACATCAACAGTTGCGTTGTCAATTAGTAGGCTAGTAGTAGCTGTGTAGGGAGTAGGCTGGGCGCCAAACGCCAAGTAGGGAGATAGGGACTGGATACATATGTTGGTGGTGGCGAGAGCAAGCTCTCATTGACATTGGTTTTCAGTACTACGATTCTCCATTGGTGTCATATTGGTGCAATCCTGCTTCTGAACACTGTGATACGAACTGGGTTTCAATGTGATTGTGCAATTTGAATATTGTCATCTCACTTTTGTTCATTTTCCTTGGGGAAGGAGGCGAGTGTGGGTTGTCAAGGTCTGATGAGGGTGACGAGATACGTACCTGGTGCATGAAGAGAGGTCGGCTATGGTGTTGACATCATGTACATTGGTCTTCGAGAGTCGAAGTGAGCCTATTGCGTGAACACAGCTGTAGGTAGGATAGTGGAGTAGAGTAGGCTGGGCGCTGGGCGCCAGACAGAGAGGAGCGATGGATACTGTGTTGGTTGGCCTGAGGGCTTGAACATTGGCTCATTACTTCATTGTATTGCTGTGTTTGGATGGATTCTCGGTGCGATTATGCTCTCTGCTCGTATACGACTACTTGGACATCTGTGTGATTTCGCAACTTGTTTTTTTGTATATCGTTCACACTCATATTCCTTGCAATTTGGTATTGGAGCTGGTTCGTGATCGCCGCTTACCTGGCGCTGGCGACATTGTTACTTGGTGCGGTGATGATGCTTCATGTGCAGTAAGGATACTTTGGCGTTGGCTTTTATAGCGGGCCCCAGGTGGAGGGGCCGCCCGTTGGAAGGCTGTGGCAACAGCGGTTGTATGTATGATGATGAGAGTATGCTGACGTGGCATTTTGGCTGAGGTGGCACTGCATTGTGTTGTGGGTTGTACCGAGGCTATTCACCGGTCATCGAAATGCACGTCGGCCCAATTGGTGAGAAATTTGTGGTTGGGGGCAGGTATCTCCAGGTACGTCGTTCCCATTCCTCATCTACCCTCTCAATCTCTTCTTACCATGAGGAAGTGAGTCCAACCTTGAGTGTCCTCTCTTTGGTGAGGAGTCGTGCGCTCTACCTTGAGAGATGACATTCTTCCAGGTGGCGCATCTGGCAGGAGAGGGCGGTGCCTCTGAAGGGCCCTGGTCGAAGCATGGGTCACGGTCACCATGCCAACCCATGGGAGTAGTACACGCAGGCTATGCTGCTTTGTCCATTGAGGCTCTTTGCTGCGTTGATAGAAGGGGTGTGCGGACTGACCAGTCCGAAGTAGACGCTCCTAGACCGTCTATAAACATTTCTGGTTGGGGTTTGAACTGTCCACTGGCTGTGATCGGGTCCTGATCGCGACGTTAATATAATTCCCGAGGACTCTCGGGGGCTGTCCTTAAATTGCCTCTTGATCAGCCAGATCAGTCAGACATAAGGCTCGTTGCACGCGAGCATAAATAACAGGCATGTTGGTCATAAACATACGTCTTGGGCATAGGGGTGGGCTGTTGTTGCACACCTTAGACACCGCTGCTTGATGATGCTTTCAATTGTGGACTCAACTGAACATCACTATTATATCTATTGTGCATACATCTGCTCACAGTAGTTTATTTTTATTTTTATTACTTGGTTGACAGACTGCTGACAGCTAACAGACAACCTAGAGTAGGACTGTAATCTACCATAGTCAGTTCTTCTCAACGCTTCTGAACAGAACTTACCGAAATAGAAGGATAGTATGTGTACAGTCTGTGTAGGTGCTGTTGATGCCGCTTGACCGGTAGTCTAGGTAACTCGTCGGATATTAATTTATTTTAATTATTTTTAAAACCGGTCAGACGCATGCTGCGGTAGGTCCTAGAGAGGACATTAGTGTAGACAACGTCTGCCTAGCCCATGAGTGGATCAAAGGGTGGTGAAGGTACAGTTGACGATAGGAGGCAGACACGACAGGAGACCGGTAGGATACCCGTAGTGTTCCGGGTTCTACTACAAGGAGATGAGAGTAGACTTAGGGCCGAAGCAAGGGCCCGTAATCTAGAGACTGCGAGATGGGCAACAGCAGCGGTTGAATGGGCGTTGGCAGGAGGAGCAGCTAGCACGGTAGCAATGACTACCTCTTCAGCCACTTCTGCTGCAAACTCCACTAGTCAGAGTTTGGGCATGCCGCTCAACGCGACCAGTTCACAATCCATCTCCAGTACGTCAGGAGTTGGCACTAGTCAGATGGGGGGCTCGCAGTTCAGCTCGCCGCCTCCACGCACCCGGGAGCAGATGGATCTTCAGCAAGCAGCCACTTCTGCTGCAAACTCCACTGGTCAGAGTTTGGGCATGCCGCTCAACGCGACCAGTTCACAATCCATCTCCAGTACGTCAGGAGTTGGCACTAGTCAGATGGGGGGCTCGCA